TTAGATTGAAAGGGTTGATGGGGACACAAGGTCCCGCTGGAAAAAGTGGAACCCACTGGGCCAAAATGGGATAAAAGTTCACAAGGCATAAGTGGGCCAAAGGGATTTAGTGGTGGAGGGTAAGCAGTACAGTCTTGTGTGGAGGAAAGGGAGAGCATTGGAAGAAGGATAGATCCGCCAGTATTAAATTAAATTACATTTAAATTACTGCCTGAAAATTATGAATGGTTTGTGCACACACTTTACAAATGTGCTAGATGAGCTTTGTCATTTCTGAATGAAAGAATGGAAACACTTAGAAGTGTGGGAATGGGGCAGTCTCAAAATTTTGGTTTGCAGGGCTTGGCATGAAGTACGGGGATCTCCTGGGGGTTCAGTTTGATTAACTTGAACTTCCGAGAGGGAGCATCCAATGAGATGGGATGGACACTACAGTAATGGGTCTTTGCTAGATGGGGCTGGGTCACCCATCACTGCTGTCGTGATGGTGAACACTGATGTATTTTTAAAACTGATGAAGTGAGGGGTTTGTTCTAGTTGTAAGTTTTCACAATTAAAAGCTAAAAGCCGATGTTGCTGTGGGTATTACTGAGAATCACAACCTGTGGATAGTTTCTCTTTTACTGACAGGAGTGAAGTCAATGAGAGAGATACTGGGCCAGGATTTTCAAAGCAACGAGTGATTACTTGATCTTGATGCTGTTGTGTTGAAAAAAATGTCTCTGCCACAACAAGGGATAAGATTATTCCCAAAACCCTTCTTCACAGTTACAATATTAAACAGTCAAGTGTGGTCTGGGGGTTTGCATCAAGTTATGTCTGGCTGACTCCCATTATAAAAACAGCCATTAAAAATCTCTTTAACATTTTATTAAAATAAAGGGGAAATAGTTAATACTTACCATTTCATATGTTTTAACTAAAGATTCATTTTAACAATAGCCCCGTTTTGTTTTCCTTTAGCTGGAGAGTTTTTATAAGGAAAACCCCAATTTGATATTTTTGATGGCATTAAAGATGGTACTAACTTTCCTTTTTAGGGCAAAGAGAAGAAGTGGGTTGAGATGCTCTTGAGTAGTTGTTACAGTCCATACCCATTTCCTTGAGGGCACAACAAGACACGGAAAAGGGCACAGAAAAGGACAGCAAAGATAGAAAATTCAGCTCCTGATTTTGGTGCTGACTTTCTCGCTGCTGGAGAAGCACTGACCCAGCAGTGGCTTGTCAGCCATTCTGATATCCAGCAAACTTGTACCAGCATCAGGCTGTTTTGGGCATTGCTTTTATATGCCTTGCTGCTCACAAGGTCAAAGCAATGTTGCAGAAGCTCCAGTCTTGGTCAGCTAAGCCAAATTCTTATTACACAGAGGGCAAGGAAGAAAAATCGGAAGGGAAAGAAATAAGGCAGATAAGGGAAGGACACATAAGGGAGGGGTGACAGCAGGAACCCAAGTCTCATGTCCCAGATGCTATTCAGAACTTAGCAGTGCAGGTGGTGAGGATGTCACTTGGTTTCCTCTCTCTGACACTGTCTAATGAGGAGGCCTTTCAGAATCAGAAGGATGAAGGCTAAGTGATGTCAAAGAGGAGTTTGGGTCCCAGGAGATGGTGGGCATGGCAGCCAGGATGATAAAGCTCACTCATTTCGGTCCACTCATCCTCTGTGTCTTACATTATTTTTCTGGTGGTTGTTCAATGTTCATGAAGAGGTGGCAGCCTCATTCCAACCATTAGCATTAACCAATCAAAGTACAATGTGGTCATTCCAACTATAAACTTTTCTTCCCATTTCTAGAATCTTTCAGCTTGTTGTCATGTATCTGTGTGGTTTACAGAGAGCCTTGAAGACCCCTTCTAACAGTTCTTTTACATGTCTATCTTCAACTTTTGTTGACTTTTATGAATAATTTTATGTATGGGGTAGAGTTAGACTTTTGGTACCTTACTTAGAGTACAGGCCTGTGCACATCAGTGCCCAACTTGAGACACCGTAAAGGACTGATTTTCAGAAAGTGTTGCATTCCCTACTGCCTGAAAATCAGGCTACTGTAAGTTGTCTCAGGCACCCAAAAATCACTAATTATTTTTGAAGATCTTAACCAGGGTGTCCAACACTTCTGAAAATGAGGCCACTGATATAGTAGCCTAACAGGCTATTGTGGTTAAAATTTTTGACTTAAACATTTCATAAAACAGATAATATTTCTCAGGGGCCATTGGGAGGATTAATTCATTATTGTATGTAAAGCATCTAGAGATGGTTGGTTGGTTGGAAGGCACTCTAGAAGTACAATAATATCTATCACTATTGAGTGATAAGACTATGAAGTACTAATGATAACTAAATG